TGTCTGAAAACATGATCTCATTCTGATTGCTTTCAGGCAAATTGGCTTTGTTGCTAGGTAACATGCTATGAACCGATAATCATTAAGGTTGCTGGGCATCCAAATAAGATGAAGCCTGTGTAGCATTGTCAGATGCCTGATTTAAAGTCCCAGTCACAATCACAGTAGAGTGCACTGTGGTGCAGGGTAGATACATTTTTAAAATTAAAATAGGTGACTTATAACTGTTTTCACAAGAAATTAGATTATACATAGCCAATTTGCTAGCTAGTAATATGTAGTCCATGTAATACTTAGCCATTTCTCATTCAGTACCCACTCAGATTTAAGGTAGGTTTATACAGTACCAAGTAAACATTTCCCTGTACATCCAAGTGCTCACTGTCATCAATATTATTACTATCACCAGACACTTTCTGAAGACAGCACGAGATAAGAACCAGCCCACCTTACAGTAGAGAATGCCCACTCAATATGCCAACAATGAGAACTTTGAGAGTGAGGAAAAAGGAAAAAATAGTATTGAAATAAAATCTGTGGTACCATACACCAGTTTACACATGGACTTCTATATCTCGAGGATTTCCCCATCAATCCAGGCTTAGTTTGCACGTGACCCTCATAGTGCGAGCATCCATCCAGAGAGAGATTTGGCCCATACATGCAATTGTCGCATGGCTGGTCTCTAAACACAGCCATGTATTCCAACTTGAGATCACCTAAACAAATACTGGCCCCTTCCAAGTGTGAGAAAATAAAACCGCACAGTGCAGCGGTGCATTTTTGGAGAACCAGTTTGTCATTTTCCAATGCTGCTCTCCACTGAAAGATTGTTGGGGGCTTCTACCTGATGCTCGCTTTCAGGCCCTGACCCCTGAGTAATATGTGCCTGCACCATATTCCGGGCTTGGATCTTGTTTTGTTGTGTTTTCTTATCACCAACAGAAGAACCTCCATAACACTACCTAACTTTGCCCCTCTAGGATCCTGTGTGTGCAACTGGACCCACCTTCACCTGAAAATGACCTCATTCAGTCGAGACTCCTTAAGAGACTAATGTTCCACAATGATCCAGGGCTGCTTTGTTCACATGTCCCTCATTGTGGGTGCTGGTGGCCCACCCGCACTGCCTGCCAGGGTTCTGGCAGGGCTGTCATCCACATTCACTAGACCCAGGGAGAGCAACTGACAACAAATCACCTTCACTTCTCAGACTCTTGGAATTCCCTGATGGGTCGGTATCCATCCTGCAGTTAGGGCAACAACACAAGGAATGTGCTAGAGAATCTGCCTTCCTCTTCCCAGCAGGTTCCTCTTCTCCAAGGCCCCCAACCCTACAGCATGGCAACGAGCACAGAGGAAAGGAAGGAGAGTGCACTTCGCATCTGAGCATCCTGGACTAGATCCTGGCTTCCCTGCATGACCCGTGTGGCCCCATCTCCCTGAGCACCAGCCCTTCCTGTATCCCAGAGGAAAGACACTTGCATGAGGCCACACATGTAAGGTGCCTGGCATGCAGCCATAGTAGCACCCAGCACAAAAAAAGGTCATAACAAACTGAAGTCCTCATTTATACAACAGGAGTAGCCAGTTGCAGAGATGGGTCTAGAAGCAGAAGGTCCCTTCTGTCCATCTGAGAGAGCCCACAGGGCATTTTTTTCTGCCCTGGCCCACGTGTGCTGCACAACATCCCAGGGCCACAGTGGGAGGGATCTGGTCCCTCCCATGAATGATCTCAGGATCTGGGCACACCAAGGAAACAGAGGCAGGGCAGCAGTGGAAGGTAGGGGCAACAGCTAAGAGAAACAGGCATGAGCAGGAGCGCAGGTCCTTGACACCTGACGGGAGCTTAGCATAGCTGCTGGCCCCAGCGTCAGACATCACCAAGCCCCTCAAACTCATGTCTCTAAGACAAACCCATCATATTCCCCTCCCCGATCCTCAGATAGACTCTCTCTGTATACAGTTGACCCTTGAACAACATGGCAGTTAGGAGTATGGTCAAAAATCCATGTATAACTTTCAACTCTCCAAATGCTTAACTATTAATAACCTTTTGTAGACTGAAAGTCTTACCCATAGCATAAACAGCCAATTGTATACGGTATTCTTACAATGAAGTAAGCCGGAGAAAAGAGAATGTCATTAAGAGAATTACAAAGAAGAGAAAATGTGTTCACTGTCCATTAACTGGAAGGGTATCATCACAAAGGTCTTCATCCTTGCATTCATGTTGAGTAGGCTGGGGAGGAAGACGAGAGGTTGGTCTTGCTGTCTCGGGGGTGGGTGAGGCAGAGGAGGTGGAGGATGAGGAAGGGGAAGTGGGAGAGGCAGTCACACTTGGTGTAACTTATATTGAAAAAAAATCTGCATATAAGTAGAACTGCACAGTTCAAATCTGTGTTATTCAAGGGTCAACCTGAATTTTGAGAAACACTTTGCTGGTCTGAGGCAGAAATTGGGGAAATGTCATGGTACCCCCTCTTCTTCCCCCTCACCCTCCATAGACCTCCTCTGGGCCTCCCAGTGCAGATTTGCTGAAGCCCATCCCACCCTCCACCTTCTGCGAGAGAGAGCACCTGACCTGCCAATTAGGTGGCCACTTACCATGCCCCTCAATACTCGGCAGAGTCCCCACACCTACGAGAGAATAAATTGCTGTTGTTCAAGCCACCCATCCTGTAGGACTTTGTTACAGCAGCCCTAGCAAACTGAGACATAGCTGACTGTAGGTTGAATAAATAAAATGTGTGGAATGAATGAACGAGGAGAAACAGGATGAAAGGCTGGGAAGTTAGGATGAGAAAAGAGGGTGAGGTTTTTTGTATCTGCAGCCTAAAGTAATGGATATCATTCCATAGAAGATGAGATGACATGGAGGATTTTTAGCAGGAAAATGTCATCATTCATTCATTCAGTTATTCAACTCATAGAATATTTATTATGCTGTAGTGAACCAAACGACAACATTCCTGTACTCAAGGGGTTAGCAACTGGTGGAGAGAAACAGAAGACAGATACAAACAGGACATCATATACTGATAAAAATTATGAAAAAAAATCCAGGTAAGAGAAACAGAGAGAACTCACAGGGGTGGAGGCCGGCAGTGGTATTAGACGGGATGCTCAGGAGGTCTTCTCTGATATAATGTTTGAGAGGAGCCCAAGGCAGTGAGGCAGGCAGCACGCCAAGCCAATGATGGCACAAGAGCAGGCTAGGCAGAGGGAGTAGCAAATGCAAAGGCCCTGAGGCCAAGGCCCTGTTTAATGTTCAGGGAGCTGCAACAAGACTATCATGGCTGGCACCGTGCAATGAATGATGAGTGAGGTGGGAGGTGAAGCCAGAGAGGTTGGCAGGGCCTTGTAATTTATTGCCCAAAGGAGGAGGGTTTTGAGGTGGGGGGGGATACTATTAATACATCTGGGACACTAGGAACAAGAACGTACATCACATTATTATAGGCCGCCAAAACCTTTGGATTTCACTCCGTGTGTTGTAGAGAGTCTTTGAAGGGTGGTGGGCAGAGAAGCACCAGGACCTGGACACATTTCTCAGAGGCACTGGCCACTACGTGGAGAATAATCCAGGTCCGGGAACGGGAAGCCCCTGAAGCCCTGGCTGAAATCAGGGGCACTTAGGAAGTTAGGTTGATGGGGAATATGAGCTTTGCAGAGGTGAGCAGAAGGAATTTCAGGAAGGGGGAGGAAAAGCCAACAGCAGGCAAGAAGGGCAGCTGCAGCCCCGCATCTCTGTGGAAGGCATGAGGAGGGGTGACCTGCACTGCTGGAGACGGAGACGCCAGCAACACCGTCGGGGAAGCGGTGCGAATGGATGGGTGGAAGGGCACAACCTCCCTGCAAAACTTCGCTTGCTTTCCAATAAGTAATGTCACCAAAGGTACAAAGAACATACGACAATTTGAAGACTTGTTCCTTTTTCTCGGTGTTCTAGGGCTAGAGACATCAAGGTAGAATTACACCCCCTGAAGCACACACTTGAGAAAGAGGTAAGGAAATAAGGTCACACAAAGCAAAATGATACAAAAGCCTTGCGTGCTTTCACCTTCATTAAATAGAGATTATAAATACCTATTTTTTAAAGTGAAGCTTGCAAAAGTATTATAAAATAATGTGCAAGCTCATTACCTTCCCATTTCTCCTTGGGTGCGTGCAGTCGGTCACCCTTTGCACTCACACGCGCCTCCACGCGGCCCCGCCCCGCAGCTCACGCCCTGGCTCACGCTCTGCTTTGCAAAGTCTGTCCACTGGGATTGGCAAGGATGCAGCACCAGGTCCAGGAGACCACAGCCAAATCTTCCTGAGGGGGCAGAGCCCACCACCGGACACACGGCCTGCACGTCTAACCACCACTGTTTTCTGCATTGATGGCCCCACCCTGGATTAGTGCTTCTGCTCCCAGCTATCTGCTTGACTTTCATTACTCCACTTTCCCCTCCATTCCATCCTTCCAAGGTCCTCACCCTCAAACGCCTCTTTATTCTCTAACCAGGAACCTACCATCTCTCCCTTCTCCCCTAATCTAAGCTTCTATAGGTCTCTAGGGAGACAGGAGAGTCTTCCTTCTGCCTTGCTGGCCATCCTGGATTCCCCACTTCCTTCCCATCTCTTCCCATACACAGCCTCTAATCCAGGTCTTCCTTATTCTGTTCCATTCCAATGGAGGGCTCAGCCCTTCATGTGGACCCACCGATATCCTACCCAATCTTCAGGACGCTACCTGGACTCTGCTATTTCCTGCCTTGTACAACCAGTTGGTCAGCATGACCTAATTCTTCCAACTTTGAATCAAGTCAAATTCAATGTCTTCCCTGAGAAGGCTTCTCTGACATTGTCCGTGTTGGTGGCTATGTCATAATCCCATAGTTAACATTCTTATAAATGTAGATACAGATGCCTATTTTAGTGTCTCTTTCCATAGTCTTCACTTACACAATGGGCAGAAAGAAGCAGGAGAAGCAAAGAGATAACCGTCTACTAACTTATTGACTTGCTGGTGCAGCTCCTTCTTGGTCCATTGAGGCGCCTTTACGGAAGCGAAGAGTAGTAGATGTTCCCGGACGGTGAGGTTGTCCAACAGGATGTCCTGCTGTGGACACACCCCTAGCTCCCTTCTGACCCTGGACAGGTCTGTCTGCAGGTTCTTGCCATTGATGGTGATGGTTCCAGAAGTGGGAGGGCAGAGCCCCGTCAACATGGATCTGCCAGAGAAAACAAACCAGTGCAGAGAAGGCATGCTGCGGATGCTCTGAACTTCAGCAACCCGGTCGGCTCAGGGAGACGCACACATCCCGCCCAGAGCGCACACCTTCTGTGGACCTGCTTTGTACAGAAGTTAAAAGTTGTGAGGAGCTTAAGAGGGATGTCAGTTAGCTAATCTTGGAAATATGGGCCTGTGATAATGTTTATACTCCCACATGATATGCAGATGCTCCTTGACTTATGATCAGGTTACGTGCTGATATTCCCATCATGTCGAAAATATTATAGGTTGAAAATGCATTTAATACACCTAACCTACCAAACATCATAGCCTAGTCTACCTTAAACATGTTCAGAACACTTACATTAGCCTAGAGTTGGGCAAAATCATCTAACACAAAACCTATTTATAATAAAGTATTGCATATTTCATGTAATTTGTTGAATACTGTACTGAAAGTAAAAATCAGAATGGTGTATGGGTGCTCAAAGTACAGTTTCTGCTTGATGTGTGTCATTTTACACCATCATAAACTCAAAGAATCATAAGTCGAAGCACTGTTAAGTTGGGGATCATCTGTACTGTGGTCATAGACCACTACAGTTGTACAAAACTTTAGGATTGTAACATCCAACTTTATTTTTACAGATGAGGAAACAGGCTAAAGAAATAACACATTTACCTCATAATCAGACATAAGCAAAACAGAAATGCAAACCCAGACTCCCACCCTGGGGCCAGCCTTCCTGCCACTTCCGCAGGGCCATCTGTCCATGTCAAAACCAAGAGACCTCAGTGGCCTGTCACCATAAACTCACTTGGCCGACTTTACCAAAGGAAGCCTGAGGATTGCTTGGTTCTGCTTCCTTGCTTCAGGAAGTTTATTGTTTAGGTTTTAAATTGTTTTCTTACTTCTAAAAAGTTAAACATGCACCTACCGTAAGACCTAGAAAATCTACTCCTAAGCATTTATGAAAGAGAAATTAAAATGTGTGCAAACACAGATATGTGCACAAATGTTCATAGCATCTTCTTCACGATCACTAAGAAAAGGGACCAACCTCAATGTCCACCGACAGTGAAAACGTACAGCAGCTGTGCTGCCTCCATGCAGGGGACTACAACGCAGCGACCCTAAGGGCCAAACTGCTGGCACGTCACCTCCACGGATGAATCTGCGAGGCAGTTTGCTGAGTGAAAGAAGCCAGGCATGATTCCATTTATATGAAATTTAGAATAAGTGAACTAATTTATAGCGACAAATAGCGGATCAGTGGTCCTATGGGGGCCAGCATAAAAGGAGGGCACAGACTACCTTGGAGGGGGACAGAAAGGCTCTGTACCTTCGTTGGTGCTTGTCCCACCATCAACCAAATGACTCAAAACTCAGCAGACTGTATACTTCACTGGACACTGTCTACTGCACACAAACTATAGCTGAACAAACTTGATGAACAACTCTTTGCTATATCATTTTACAACCTATTTTAGGGATACTACAGAGTAGTTTATACATGCTCCATATGAGTCTCAAAGATTTTTATTTTAAATAGTGAAGATCCAGCCTATTAGTTGGCGTCTCAGCCTCTCATCTAAGAACCGCCAGGGGGCAGCCACTGAGGATGCTCAGGACATACTACAAATACACACTAAAAGCAGTGTGGTCAGTGAAGCTTGAAACACTGAGAAACTCCAAATTCTCATTGCTCTGCTGAACAAGCATTCCAGGTTTTCCTTGCAAGAAATGTGTCTTAGTAAATGTAGGATGTGGAGTGCTGGCTTTCTGAGTCATTATTTGTGTAACTCGTACTTTCCAAATTTGCGAACACTAAAAAAATACTCAGAGAGCTTTTGAGTTCCATTTCAGCATCTAAGGAACAAAGAAAAACTGTCCATGTTTTTTTTTCTTTCAGATTGTTTTCAATTTGAGATTCCCGAAGCTTTATATATGCTATTTTTCTGCATTTCTTAAGTTTGAGGCAAAGTTCTTTTCATTATTTTGAGTAATCATACTTTAATCCTACATATTTAGCAAAGAAAAGAACAAAGGGAAATGGATTTGTTCAAAACAGTTATTTCATAACTGTAGTGGTTTAACCTTAAACCACCCCTTGCACAGCCAGCTCAAAGCCATGAGGGTTTGCACTCCCTGTTTCTCTGGGGTCACACGTTTGACTCTTTAATCAAATCTCAAGCTATTGAGCCCTAAACCAAAACCCCAGCCCTAACGAGAAAGCAACCACACAAAAAGCAGAACATGAAGAAGAAAAACAGCCAGGTAGTTTTAAAAAATTTGCAAATATCATTCTGATATTCATCTTCCCATAGATATGCAAACAAAATTACATTTACTAGGACAAAAACTAAAAGTGTCACAGGACTTCCAAAGACTAAAGTAAAACATGGTAAGTTATTTGTAGAAAATAAAGAAGAATTAGAGATTAAAGATTTTAAAAAAACCCACAAAACCAACCTCCCCTACCCCTTGGGTCCTGCTCCGGCCCTGAAGCATGACCGTGTGGTTGAGGACACAGGGCCACTCTGGCGAGAGGGCTCTTTCTCCTGTGTCTCTAAACTCTATATTGAACACTCAAAATTTTAAAAAAAGAAATAGAAATCAAACCTTCCGTCTCACAGGTAAACTAATACTTTTAGGACTCAAATGCCCAGTGTTCTAGGAAGGTGAAAGGAGACCCACATGATGGTGGTTTTCCCAGCTCCGTTGGTCCCCAGCAGGGCGGTGATCTGGTCTCTGTGGAAGGTGAGGGTGACGTCCTGGACTGCCGCCTTGTGGCCCTCGTATTCCTTGGTCACGGACACCAGGGCGACTCCCAGGGAACCTCCTTCAAGCTCTCCTTCCCTGTTTGGCAGCGATGACCCTGCGAAGGGGATGCAGATTCATTGTGAGAGGACGTCAAAAGGCCCAGAAATACGCTCATATTGAATAATTCAGTGTTCCCCTTTGGAATTGAATTTTAACTCTGTGAAACATGCAAAGCAATTCAAAAATCTTTCTTTACCAAAACAAGAAACAGATTATATAGCAGCAAAAATTAAAACCTATCACTGATTAGAAAGTTTCAAGCTCTTATGATAACCGTTTTGTAAAAAAATAAAAATAAATACACGCACATGTATTTGTGTATATGCAGAGAAGAGACAATAGGCAGATTAGTTCCACACCAAAATCTCCATAAGAAATATTAATAGTCTCCTGAGGAGGCGAGAGTTAATAGGTGTTTGTTGGTGTGCTCCAAATTTTCTCAAAAATTCATATTTTACTTGGTTAGTCAGAAAAAATTCACTTTCCAATATTGACGCAGAGTGTAAAACCACCATGAAGGGAGCTTGTTCATCTCTGGCTGATGCGTCTGGATTTTCTCATAATGCCCCAGAAGTCGTCCTTTTCTGGAAGTGTCTGTGTGCCTGCGTCTGCAGGAAGGGGCCGGGGCTGGGCCGCAGAGGGGCGGGAACCATCCTCCCCATTTGCAAAGGACAGTGATAATCTTTCTCACAGAAGCATCAGAAATTAAAAATTAAATTAAATTAAAAATTTTTAAGTGTATTATACCTCGTAGCTGCCCACCTTTGCTTATTTTTTACACATATTCATTTTTGGATTCAAGCTTCAGTTTTACTGAATGACAATATAAGCACAAATGCACATAACGCATGGAGGGGAGGATGCTAACAAATAGATAATGAGAAGGTTCTGGGGTTCCTGGGCTTCCCAGAGGAAACATTGTCAGGGACACTGCCTTGCAACCTGGCCCTGTAGCTTTTTCCCGGTGGAAGACAGCCTGAAAAGCAGCACACAATTGCAGAGGCTGGACCAGAAATAAAACACCAAAATCAAAACTGACTGGAGGAAAAATACATGAATCCAATGGTGCTACTCCTTACAAACCTTTGTTCCCAAAGTTCTCATTGAAGAGAAACAGTCCAGAACTTAGAAAATTCCGACTTTTCTCCAGCAAGCCACTCATGTTCTTCCAGTACGAGGCGGTAAAGGGGAAATACCATGGCTTCCTTAAACCGAAAGTTCCTAGAAAATAAGATACAATTAAAAGCAGTTTAATTATCCTTTTATTTAGATGAAGATTCTGTAATAGAATATCTTAACTAATTAGCATAAAATGTTATTCTATGTTAATATTTTCAATATACACCCCATTTACAAACCAGTGACGCCCTGCCCAGGGTGGCCCTGAGGTGGGGGTCTAGCTCACCCTCCTGGGCCTGACCCAGGGCCGTCCACCAGGACCCCTCCACCCCATCCGCCGCATCCACTTCCCCCAACAGGCCCTTAGAATAGGTGTTCGATAAACATTTTTTATTAATAAAAACTGCTGACTATTCCCCAAACTCTCAGCCCTGCCCTGCGTTGCCCCTGTATTTTGCTATTACTCTTCTTTCGCCTGTCTTCGATGTTCGCTTGGGTGGCTAGGCAAAAGGAAGGGCATGAAGTAAGCGCATGACAGAATTAATCGATGGAAACTTCCACGGAGAGGAATAACTCATTATGCTAACATTTCCATATAAAACGCATCACCATTCTTCAAAAGTATTCATTTTGGACCATTTGCCAATCACTTTGCCCTCAGTACATGAAGGAATGAAAGGAAATTTAATTATTAACACTTCTCAATTTCCTTCAACATATGCATTCTAGTTTAAGTTTGATGAATGCAACTTACCTAAAGGCCGAAATTCTACAACTGACTAGAATAAAAAAGGCCTCCCTGAAGACTGTTTTTGCACTTTGATCGTGGAGCAACAGAGGGAGATGCAGCTCTCACACGTTCTCATCAAAGGCGTCAGAGATGATTACACACTCAAAGGACAGTTCACAGCGCTGTCACCTTGGAAAGGGGAAGGCCGGTGTTGATCGGCCAGCAGGCTCAGCACTGACCTTTGGCTGTGGGCTGGGTCGTGTCCCTGAAGTTTCACATGTTGAAGTCCTAACCCTCAGTACTTCAAAATGTGACTATATTTTGAGACATGGTCTTTAAAGAGGTGATTAAGGCAAAATTAAGTCACAAGGGTGAGTACTAATCCAATCTGACTGGTGTCCTCATGAGAGAAGCTCAGGACGCAGACACCCAGAGGGACGGCCCTGTGACCAGGGAGAAGCCAGAGGGTGGGGCCTCAGGAGAATCCAGCCCTGCCAACACCTTGATCTCAGACTTCTGGCCTCTGGGACTGTGAGACAATGAATTTCTTTTGTATAAGCCACTATTTTGCGGTACTTTGTTATGGAAGGCCAGGAAAACTGATGCAGGCTGGTGTTCTCCAAGACCCCAGCAAACTAATAACCCATCCCTTTGTAGGAAGAGGATGGGTAGCACCCAGGTAATTAGGTCATATAACAGCCAGTATTTCTCTGTTCCAGGGTCTTCATTTGCATTAACTCACAGAGCCCTGTGAGCACTGATGTGCAGGGTACTATTTTCACCTCCCTCTTTCCAATGCCAACGGGAGGACCAGCACGGCTTGCCCAGGGACATGCAGCTGCTGGCTGCAGAAAGCACACTCTGGCTGGCCTCTCCCCTGGCAGTCCCTGCCTGTCTGAGCACACACGTGCCACAGCAAGGACACTGCCCCTTCCAAACAAGAGTGGAGACTTGCCTCATCCCCTGAACCACAGTGTCTTTGAGTGTCGATTACAAAAGATGCTTTTGTTCACATACACGCGTGGACCACGAGTTTGTGGAAATAAAAGTACATAATAAGCAAATGCATACATCAGGGAAATTATCCCACCAATGTCGGCACTGCGTTGGGCTCTCTCATGCACAGCCAGCAGCGGTTCTTCTGCTGAGGGGCCCCGAGGACACCAGGATCATTCACAGTAGGGGGCAGGGGGCACCACCTTTAGCTAGAGCAGTTGGCAATGAGGTCAGGTGCCTTCGAAAGCTCATAGATTTCTGAATTAACAATTAAATCCTAGGAATCTAGATGACACACAATGACAAAATGAGGACATACAACTGAGCACAAACATATTCATGGAAAAGGCAGAAATTATTTAACCTTCAAAGTAGGAGAAAGGTGCAGGAAATCATTACTTTCATTTAATGAGATGTTAACATCATTTTCAAAGATGTGGATAAATGCTTATGATAAAAATACCTTTAAAATATAGAGGGAAACTTATATATACAGTATGAACCCAACTAGGTATAGAAAAGTGTCTGGAAAAAGACTGGGAAATATTATTAGTTCTGGCTAGTGAGATTTGAGATAATTAGAGTTTCCCCTGCTTCTTCATAAAGTTTCCAAACATTTTTTAATAAACATGTAGCCAACTGATGTATTATATCTCAAGTTCTCAGACCCATTGGAGAGAAAATAATATTTTCTATATGCACTTTCTAAAGGTGAAACTAGGTGCAATTTGCCACCTGTTCCAAAGGAAGTAATTGAACACCTTCACAACTATGGGGTGCACCACAGGGAAATCCTGAAACAAACTGTCTGCTCTGCTCCACTTCAGCATAAAAGGAAGTTATGCAAAGATAAATATAATTTCATAAAATGGCTTTCAAGCTTTGGGCCGTGGTGATTACCATATATGTATGAACACACATGTGTGCATGCATATACATACACATGCACACATGTCAATGTGAACACGTATGCATGCACATACTCGTGCACACACATGTGTGCACACATACACAACCTCAACAATGTCAGGCATCTCCAGTTCCCTGCAATGGAGCTTCGATGTTGCTGATAATTGATCGTGTCCTCATTTGCTCACTGAGTCTTTGGAAAACGACACCTCCCTCCAGCCCTGACTCACTGTCGAAGATGCTTTGCTGAGAAATGAATAGCTAAGCGGTTTGTACAGAAGCAGGAGGGGAGAGGCTGGCTCATCTCCCAGGGGTCACAGTCCCAGCTGTCAGCCCAAAAAGGAGCAGAGCACATGAGGCCTCAGCACACTGACAAGGAAGCTGGGGAGGTCACTTGGGTCCAGGACGTCCTATGCCTTGTCTCACTGTTCCCAGCGTACAACATTCTGTTCCAGAGACATCGGTCGGCAGCAGAAATCAATTAATCACACCCTCTGGTGGTACGAGGGAGTCACAAATGAATCAGGAAGAGACCCTACCTTCGTACGACCTTCATTCTAATAAAGATGACCAAGCAAATGTTGAAAGGAACACAAGGTGACAGGATATTGTCATCGTAGAGTTTCCGCTGACACGGAGTGGAAGCAGGCCCTTCAATCAGGGGAAAAGGTGTCAGAAAGAAAAGGCAGAGAGATGTGTGGTGGGGTTGCTAGAATTAGGAAACACAAATACAGGGTACGCAATTAAATTTGAATTTCTGACAATTGACAAATAACGTTCTAGTGTGAGTATGTCCCCAAAATTACCTGTATTTTATTGGAAATTCAAATTTAAGTGGGTGTCCCGTATTTTATCTGGCCACCCACGTGGGGTGTTGGGCACACTGGAGACTGCCCCCACCCCCACCAGTGCAACTGGAACAGAGAGCGAGGCGTGAATCTGCAGCAGAGTAGCTTAGGCTGGACTGGGAGCCACCGCAGGTATCAACCTTCATTCTGCACACATTTGGAGCCGGGAAAGACTATCAGCTGGGGGAGGGCAGGGTCCATTTGGGCCGCTTTTAAGAAAGATAACTCCGTGTCAACATAGATTAGACGTGAGCGCGGTGCTTGGTCAGGGGGCTGCCTAGAGGCACAGGAAGGCATCGCAAGTGCACAGAATGGCCCAGATCGGGTACGGCAGGTACGGAGAGGCCCAAACTAAGGCTTCAGGACAGAAAGGGGCAGCAAAGTCTAGGAGACTTTTCAGGGTTAGAAAAAAATAAATTAGAAATAAATTGACTATTAAGGATTGATTTGCTAATTAAACCATCTCAGCCTTAATCTGTCTGGACTTTCAAAATCCTCTTAATTAATCTACCCTACCTGAAGCGGAGAGCTGCCAAATCCACGTCGGCGTGGAGGCGCTGGGCTCCTCGGCGGGCTCTGCAGGCCGCTTTTGCTTGTAATCCCACACTTGTTTTATGCGCATGCTCTAAAAGCGCGGGCACCCTGCTCATGTTACCAGATGTAATTGGGCACATCAACATGGGCAAAGGCCCCCAATTTATGCTGAGATTTTCTCCTCAAGGGGAACCAGGCCAGGAAACTAATTAGCATTGTCCCCCAAAACTGACAGTGATAAAAGAAGAAGTCAATGAAATTAGACAGATCAAGTAGAATCAGATTTAATTGGAAGCACATAAAACAGAGTTTAGGCAATGAAAACTCGTTGAGAGGAACAGATGTTTGCTTGCGAGCTCCTGACTGGAGACCTGCAGTTGACACAGAGCCCCCAGGCCAGGAAACGATCTGCTGCTTCTAGAATGCTGGGGTCATGCCTATAGAGTCACTTTATAAAGAAGAAAGAGGGAAGAAAATGAAGAGGGAAGCATTTATATGGGGCATGGTATGAGAGTGTACGTGTGTCTGAGAGAAAGAGAGCAAGAGAAAGTTCTCGCCCTCCTCCCACTGTGGGAGACCCTCCTACATATGAGAGACTCTGGAACCATGATTCTCAATTTGGTGAGACTCTCTCAGGGGTGTTTTGGAAACGTGAGGGGGGACACTTTTAGTTGTCACAGTGAATGGGTGCTTTACAATGTAGGTTTTATTACTGTTCAGCAATGGTGAGGCCAACAGGTCAGGAGACAACTGCCATTGAAAATATAGTTTGTTGCTCACAGATCCCAAAGGGAGGGAGCATGACACCCCACACAGGGCCACATAGGCAAGCACCAGGTCCGTCAGAAGATTGAGGAAGGAGGGGGAAATGTGGACAAGAGCCTTTACTGTGGTTTCCAAGGGAAGGAACAAGTGAGGAAGGGCAAGTAGGGTTAGCATTGACTAGTGTGTGTACTTTCAGCAGACCTGAGGCATAAGGGCTGCCTTAGGTGTCTGGTACCTGGCCGTGGGCTGTGCAGGGCAGGTGGACAGAGGCCCTGAGTGGGAGGCCTTACAGAGGAGATGGTAAGAGTGTGGGATCTGGA